TATTGTATATGAATATGAATAATATAAAATAATTAATATTTCTGTTGGGCTTTAAGGTTTGCAAAGTGCTTTACATTGTAGTGTCACTTTTCTACATTGAACTTTCCAACAACCTTGTCAGGTATGTGCAATTATTTTTCCCCATTTTACCAATGAAGAAATTGAGGAAGTCCAACTGTCTACCTACTAAGCCACAGGACTTCTCCAGTTACAGAACCATGAAACTATGGGAGTAGAAGAATCTTAAGGATCTAGGTTTACTCTCATTTTTATAGATAAGGAAATTGAGACAAAGATTAAATAAACGATTTATTCAAGTGCTTTCAATTCTACTGAAACCTTCAGAAAGCATCTCATTTCTGGAACATTTTTAATACCAAAACAATTGGGCAGTTAAGTTAGTTATTAATGGTCTTTCCTCAATCTTCATTCTTCTTGAACTCTCTGAAGCCTTTGACACTATCAATTACCCTCTTCCCTTTGATACTCTCTTCTTTCTAGATTTTTAGGACAACATTCTATGGGTCTCTTCCTACCTATCCTTCTAATTCCTCCTCAATCTCCTTTGCTGGATCCTCATCATCCAGGTCATGCCCAATAACCATAAGTGTCCCAAAGGGCTCTTTCTTGGGTCCTCCTCTCTTCACTCTCTATACTATTTTACTTCATGCTCTTATGAGCTCCCCTGGAATTAATTATCGTCTCTATGTTTATGTGGTCAAGTAGGTGGGGCAGTACATAGAATGCCAGACCTAGAGTCACAGAGATCTGAGCTCAAATCCTGCCTGAGACACTTAATGGCTGTGTGATGCTGGGAAAGTCATTCAACCCTGTTTGCCTCAGTTTCCTCATCTGTAAAATGAGTTAGAGAAGGAAATGGCAAACCATTCCAGTATCTTTGCCAAGAAAATACCAAATGGGGTCGTAAAGAGTCAGACAGGACTACAACAACTCAATAACAACAACAATACTCACAATTCTCAAATCTACTTATCCAGGCCAAATGTCTCTGCAAACCTCAAGTCTCCCATCTCTAACTACCTTTCAGAAATCTTGAACTGGATATCTAGTAAAAATCAAACTCAACATGTCCAAAACTGAACTCATTATCTTTCTCCCTAAAACCTCCCCCTTTCAAATCTCCCTATTATTATTGAGGACACTTTGATCTACACTGTCCCCCAAGTTCATCTAGGCGTCATCCTCCACCCCTGTGTCTCTCAGCTCCCATATTTAATCTGCTGCCAAGGCCTGTTGATTTCACTTTTGCAATATTTCTCAAATTATACCTGTCTCTTGCTCTGATACTGCTACCTTTCTGGTGTAGGCCCTCATCACCTCACAATACTGCTGTAGCCTGCTGATTGATCTGTCTGTCACTAGTCTCATTCCAGCCCAGTGCATCCTAAATTCAGCCACCAAAGTGATTTTGCTAAAATGCAGATCTGACCAAGTCATCCTCATACTCAACAAACTCTAGTGGCTCCGCATCACCTCCAGGATCAAATACAAAATCCTCTGCTTGGTGTTTAAAGCCCTTCATAATCTAGACCCACACTTCTATTTTTCAAGCTATCTCATACCTTACACCTCTCCACATTCTCGTCAATTCAGAGATACTGGTCTCTTTGCTGTACCTCTAAAAGATACTCCATTTCTTGCTTCCAAGTATTTCATCTAGCTGTCCTCCAAGCCTGAAATACTCTTCCTCATCATCTCTATTTCCTGGCTTTCCTCACTGTTCTAACTAAAATCCTACCTTCTCCCAGAAGCTTTTCCCAATCCTTCTTATCCTGTACATAGCTGGTTTGTATGTGATTATCTGTATGCTGCCTCTTCTTTTAATTTTGCATTCCCAGTGCCTAGCAGAATACCTGGAACTTAGTAGGCACTTAATAAATAGTTACTAACTGACAAACTAATGATAAGAGAATTCCCCAAGGAATTTCATACTATGTCTCTGAAAAAAACTGTAAAATAACAGTTATGGTCTATCTTTTAATAGCAAGTTTAAATTTTTATCAAGTTAATTAAACTAAGACAATATCCTAAAAACCTTGATCTACAATGAAATTTTTAATAATGACAAACTCTCCCTCAACTTCCTGAAGTTTTAAAGTCATACATTTAGGTTCCCTCCCTCCCTCTGCTCCCCCAACCCCAAGAGAGAGAACTACTTGGTTTAAGAGCAATTCACCTGAAAAAGACCTATGGGTTCCAGTCGATTAGAAGTCCTATATGAGCTAACAAAATGACCAGTCCACCCATCCCACTATAAACAAAACTAAGGAAATCTTAAGCTGCATCAACAGACTTTGTGACCTGAACAAGGGAAGTAATCAAACATAAATATAAATCCCACCAGACCATATCTGGAATACTGCATTCATTCCTAGGTACATCGTTTTTTGTTTTTTGTTTTTTAAAAAAAAGCTGGAGTATCCAAAAAAAAAACCCAACTAGAATGGTGATGCACTTAAAAACTGTGTCATATGAGGAACAGAAAGTATGCATCAAAATATGAGGCTAGTATTTTCTAAGTATTCAGATGGCTGGAAATACAATAGCTACCTTGTGGTAAACTCTGAAAAGTACTTGCTAATAGTGACTCTTTTCTCTGCATGCACAACTAAGTGTTCCTATTAAATGAAAACTGCAGAATTTGCTAAGCTTGTAAGATTTGCTAATATTTCAGAAGTGTTGGGCAACTTTTTTCAAATATATACAACCCAAAGACGAAAGTCTATTTTACTTCCATTTACTATGGACTCCATCTACCACCATTTGTAGCAGTAGAACAAATGTGAAAAAAAAATCAAGAAAGTGTTATTTTATTTTTACATTAAAAAATACAGCCTCCTTCAAAAGAACTTGCAGTTAGAATACGTAATTTAAGAAAAGAGAGCAACTTTGAATAATTTATGACTACTTTCAACATCCATTTGGAATGGATAAAAATGAAGGTAATTGAAAACTACCTCCCACTCACAAAATGATCCCTTCTACAAAATCAGCTTCTTAATTTGACATTTAAGTTATCACTGTTTAAGTGTTTGGTTATCCAAGTTTTTAAAAGAAATTAAAATTTGTTCTAATATAAAACGATGCTTTTTATTTTTTAAAGGCAATAGGGGTTAAGTGACTTCCCCAGGGTCACACAGCTAGTAAGTGTTATGTGTCTAACGCTGAATTTGAACTCAGGTCTTCCTGACTTCAGGGCCAGTGCTCCCATCTAGCTGCCCCCAAGATGTTTATTCTTAATATAGCTGCACTTTGAAGTAAAAAATTCAGAGATTTTATTTTCTAAGTCCCAATTCAAGTTAGATATCCTTTCTGCTTTAATGCAGGATCATAAACCCCACCCACAAAACACAGATCAGACCCACACCCAAATGCAAATGCCAAAAAGAAAAACTTACAAAATAATTGCTGAATTGCACAAATGAACCCATCTATAAAATATTAAAACCCAAGAATTCAAGAAGCATTTTCACCATAGTCTCCTACCAAATTTTTTGGGAAGGGATAAACTGTCAATGAAAATTCAGAAAAAACCTTCAAGATGAAAATCTTGGAATGTAATAGTAGACTAACCAAAGATTAAGCACACAATTTTTCTTTCAAGATTTACCAAGTCTAAGACACAGAACCCTGACCCTTTAATAAGTCACTCAAATTATGTGACAAGAACCCAAATGACTGGATTAATAGTAATAATTTCCTAATAAAAAATGTATCATGATCACTTTTACCTGTAACATTACTACTGTAGAACTGAAAGCTATTTTTTCCCATCTAATCCCTTTGTTTTAATTTCAACCTCCTCCCCCCCACCACCATTTTTCTACTTTTAAAGGACAGGCTTAATTCTTGCTTATAAAACCTAAAGTGGAAAATGTTACTTTATGAAACACTTTATCTGTTAACTCTGTAGTACTGTGACAATGTTCTAATTTGAATTATTTTGTAAGTGTGATGTTTAAATATTTTTATCACAAGAAGATCAAGGCATGAGCATTCTTTACTTACCCTGAATCCAGCTTTTGAGAATCAGGGTACGTCAAGTAAATGAGGTGACATGCCATTTACTATGTGCCAGGCACTCTGTTAAATGCTGGAAATACAAGGAATGGCCAAAAAAAAAAAGCCCCTGTTCTCAACGCGCTTACGAAATCTAATAAGGGAGACAACATTCCAATAACTATATACAAACGAAATACATAGGGTCTCCCAAAAATTTTAGTGCAGGTTTGGTTACTTAAAATGGCACTAAGACTTGAAAAAGCTACTAAAGCTTTTAACTGCAGTAAAATTTCTGGGGGGAAAATGTCTACAGGATGAATTAGAAATAATCTTAAAAGGAAAGCACTAAGGAGGATCGGAAAAGGTATGTAATGGTTCACAAATAAAACCCAGGCTGAAGGGTCATTCCAAACAACTGAGGTAACTTAAGAACTAAACCTATCTGTAAAGAGAACCACTCTGCTATTTTTAATTATGGAAAGCGATTCCCTCTCCAAACTAATTTGTCTCAACAGATCTGATCAAATTCCACTGAATGGCTCAGTTACTGAAGATAAAGCTACGATGTTATTACCAGCACTAGAATCAACAGTGCATATCTACCACAAAAAGCTAACCTGCAATCCATTAATCTGATATAAGAACCTGAAAAGTTGGGATGGGGGAGCGGAGAACAGGACTAAGACATCACCCTAATGCTGAGTCCCAGGGCCCAGAAAATGAGCTGTGGCAATCTCTTCTTCGAATGAGGTTTCCTTTTTAAGGTGGAAAGGGGGTAACCTGTAGTTACGGTTACAAGAAGGGGGCAGTGCTTCGGTGGACGCCCCCAGGCTTCTTCCTCAGCCTCGCCTCCCTTCTCCCACGCCAAGGTAAGCCCCGAGGGCCCCAGGTAGGCAGGTCACCGCCTCCTCACCCGGGAACCCCAGGGACTGATCGAAGAGCCCCGGGCAGCGCCCCCCTCCCTTCCCCAGGCTCACCTCGAGCTTGTGATTTATCTGGGACACGGTCTGTGCTTTGTGGCAGAGCTGCGCGAAGCAGGAGCTCAGGCTGGTCATCTTCTGGCGTCCCTCGTAAGTGATGTCCGCCTGGTCCGGGTCGATCTCGCCCAGGAGCAGGTCCACGTCCACGAAGGCCTTGTCAAACTCCTTCTCCAGCACCTCCAGCCACCGGAACATTGACACCCCCCCGGGGGGCACCCCTGAGGCGCATGAGGCACCCCCGGAGACCCCGCCGGGCCCCGCCGAGCACGGACCGCCCGCCGACATGGCGCTGCTGAGTGCCTCCCCCTCGCCTCTCCCGCCGACCCCGGCCACCTGCCCGCGGGAGGGGAACAGCCGAGACCGTACGCTCCGGGAGCGCGCCGCTGCCGGTCCTGCCTCCCTGTCCCCTCGCGCAGGTAACGATGGGAACCCAGCTCTAGGGGTGGCAAAGGGATGAAGCAAAGGTTGAAGCAGCTACGGAGGCGGAACTGGCTATACAGTGTATCGGTGTCGCACCCCCCCTCCTCCCCCGTCCCCTTTGCGCATGCGCGGAAGCGATCCTCCACCGGCGCCGGAGAGGGAGGCCCCGGGGGGGGCCAAAGGTCAGCGCCTAGCCTGTGATAGGCTTCTGACAGAGCCCATCCTCTTCGTGGCCATCTTGGGTACTGGCAAGTTGAGGAGTGGAAACTCATAGAAGAGTTGGAGGTGTTGAGTAGCGTCATTGTCTACGTGGGAAGGCACGGAGGAAGAGCAAGAGCGTCCACGTCGCGTAGGAGAGTAGCTTCCGTCCATCTGTTCCTCTGTCTGATCCAAAAGTGGTAGGGGCAGAGTGGTGAACTACCTTATGCGCATGCGCAGTGGACAGGGGTTTGGTTTTTTTTTTTTTTTGGTCCCTGTCCTTACGCCATTCCACGTCTTCGCGCCCCCCCCCGTGCTCTCCCCAACTAATGGGGGGGGGGGGGGCTTGCTTTAATTTCATTAGCATGTTGGATATCTGCCGAAGTGTCAGTCCTGGGCATCCTTTGCATCTTTTCCCGCCCAACTCTGTGCTTCCCTTCAGGCGGCGCAGGATTAGGCACTTAGCGTGGGCAGCGGAACCGACGGGTTGCACTGCCTCGAAACCCTGGGAATGTGCCACGCGGGCGCGAGGGCTGCAGGAACGGAAGCATCACTTAATGACACATAGCCCGCGAAGGTTGCGCTGCCAATCATCTATAAGCTGAGCTGAGACGCCCTCTTTCTTTTTCATTCATTTGGGGCCGGTTATGTGCAAGCCCACGGATCATAGAATTTAAAACCGAAAGTGACTTGGGACACCTGGTCCACCTCCTTTCCATCTTTTTTTCCAGATGTGGAACCTGACGGCCAAAATGGTTCTGTGTATGCTTAGGGTCACATAGGTAGGAAGTAACAGCTGGTATTTGAATTTAGTTCCTCTGATTCTAAAGGAGGGTATTTTTCACTAGACCAGTAGAATAGTAAGTGCTGCCTTTTCAGGGGCTATGGTTTGATTTGGTTTGGGGAGGGGGACAGGTGAGTCCATCCTTAAAGCAGAACATGTTAATTCCTCTGTGCATTAAAATAAAAACAAAACAAAAACTGAGTGATTTTTATCCTTGCCCCAAACCTTTAGTTTCAGAAACAAAGTAATTTAAATAGACACTACTTGTGAATGAATCATTTCCCTAACCTTGACTTGTTGGGTTTTTTTTTTTAAGCCCACGCAGTGTGGTTATAAAATTGCATGAGTGATAATGTGGTATAGTGGATAGAGAGTTGGCCTCCAAGCCAAGAAGAGCTTGAGTTTGGTCCCTCTAGTGACTCATACTGGCTGCATGACTCCACATGTTACTTAACGTCTTAGTGTTCTGGCTATAAGTTGTAGAAAAGATGCTGACCTGCATTAATAGTAGTACAAATATTAGTCATCAATATTAGTATATAAGCATTAGAGGGAGGGGGAACAGAAACATAGAAGAAAAATTGAAGAAAAGGATATCATAATGTAGCAGATGTGTAAGCCCCACATGTATAGAGAGCTGTAGTGTGACTCAAAAGACAGAATAGATATCTCTAGCCTCTTCTTCCCCCATTTTAATTCCTTCTAGTAAGGGAAGCAGGAGGCTGAGGCTGCAGGCCACCACTCTGCTATCCTCAGAGACAGGGAGTACCAGGTTAGAAGTTTATATATAAATCTGCTCCCTTAAATATCTAGTGATCTAGTGATCTGGCTCTGATTTACTTCTGATCACTTTGTTATATTGGGGGGAAGGAGGACTCCAAGATCTATATTTAAGGCTTGACCCCTTTCTCACCAAATACTAGTTCCTCAATGAATACATATAGCAAACAGCAAAGGAACTCATTTATCCAAATCATAGCAAAACAGAAATCTGAGAAGGTATAAGAATAATATATAACAGACAAATCAGAGTTGATCGAATCCTAATAAAGCTTCCCCCAGCCCCAATATTCTAACTTCCTTATGGGCCCCACTGAATAGCAGGCATGTCCTGATTTAACCACACAATCTGGCTTTAACTACACCACAGGCTGCCAGACTCAACATAGCAACAGCCCCTAGCTAGCCACTGCCCCCAGATCTAATTCACACATTTGAACAGGTATGTTCTTATATTCAACCACAGTCGCACCATCCATTTAGCCCAAGACAGAACCATAATACTTAAGTATCCATCTTGACCAGATAGCAGCACAATGGCTAGCCAATCAGAGGGCAGCACGACCAGGATGTTTGACCACTGTACCATAGAAGGGACCCCCTCCCCTATTACCTAATCCCTTAACAAACCCCTCCTGCCTTTTTAATATTTATAATTTCTGTTATGTAATCAGCATCAATACACTATAAATGCCTGTGTTGTCTTACTAAGTTGATGGTTCCTCTTAGAACCTAGTCTGCTTCTGAGGGGCATCAATCCTCAGTAAATGCCTGCACTTGGATTAGAGGTGGTCTGACTCTGAATTCTAGAACAACACACCATGAAACCGCAACCATTTTTGGCGTCCCTGAGTAGGCCAACTCTCTGACTGTGACCTCCATGTAGAACAGATTCTGATTCAGACCCCCTCTAATCCAAAGGAAAGCCTGTCTTTTCACCTTCTCTTAGCTGGGAGGTCCTTCAAGGCTTGACTGGATCTTGTGGGCCCTAGTACTCAGGGGCCTTGTGGCCTGGCAAATTCCCTCGAGACAGAGGATACTCTGTTTGGGAATTTTGAAGGGAGTTCTTTCTGAATTCATTTTTTTCTCTTATCCTGCTGGTGGGATGCCACTGAAGAGCTGAACTTGGCTATGGGGGGAATTTCCTTAGGCTTACTGACATTCAATCCCAACTCCCATCTACTAAACTATAATAGAGCCTAGTTTCAGTATAATCTAGAGAACCAAGAAAAGCTATTACTACCTGTGCGTTCTGTTTGTTTTTGTTTGCTCTGTCTGTATAAAAATCTCTGTCTGCCACCTTGTAAGATTTAAAATGCAGCCAGCCAGGAAAAAAAAGAAAGAAAGAAAATAAAAACTGTACCTGGGCTGGAAAGATTGATGGTCTCTTAAAGTTTTTAAAAACTGTTGTTTAAACCTCCCCCCCCCCTTGGACTCTGGCCAAGTTCTGGAAGTGGAGGGACAGATGGAAAGAAGGGGGAAAGTTCTCCCCTCAAATCTATCTAAGAGAAAAAGGATCACTTCACTGATCAAAGAGAGGCAGGTTTCAAGGCTGCACTTTGGAATAGGACTAGCACTTAATCCTCTCCTGCGTCACAGAAAGAGAAAAGATTGGAATATCTCACTAGAACTTAGAGAGTCTTAGAAACTAAAGTACTGGTTAATTTTAAAATAACTTTTAATTCTGTATGTGTGTTAAAATTGGAAACTTGACTAGATTATATGAGACTCCTATTCATTTTTTAAAAATCACAGAGGCGATGTGTAAATTAATAAGTTTCAGGTTCCTTCCTATGGAATCCAGACTTGAAGTAAAGTAAACATGCTCTCAAGGGTGATAATTGGGGTACATTTGTGTTAGCATTAAAATCATAACCCCAGAGTCTATGTAATGTCATTTGGAATATAGATCCAGGCAACTGAATTCATTCTGGTTATATATTTTAAGTTATATTTTAATATTGTCTTTCCTAATTTGATGTTTAAGGTAAGTCAGAATTTATTATACTGTTTGGCACTAAGACAAATTGGGAAAATGCATAGATCTGAAAAAGGAACGTCTCAGAGACTAAGCTTTAAGCTCTCTAGTACTGGGGAAAGAGAAGACTAGGTACCACCAGATCTTTTCCAGAGTTCCACTAACTTTGACTGGCAGGTTCAAAGCTCCCACTCTCAAATTGGTTTTTAATGAGTGGACACAGAAGTGGAGTTTACTTGAGTAAAAATTCAAAAACACTCTTAAGATCCTGGCTCTGACCAGGCTGAGGCTACAGTGAAAAGTTAGAACTGCTAAAAACATTTTAGCAGATTCTGTTAACTCCTTTCATCCCAGATCGGATTAAGAAAAGAGTGCTGGAGAATGGTAGGAAATTTGAGTCACCTTCCCTACTTGGTGAAAAGAAGGAGGGGGTAGGCGAAGCAGCCACAGTGGGGCCCCATTGGCAAAGGCCCTGGGAACCCTGAAGTCTGCCCCTCTAGGCAAGCAGCCTCAGCCTCAGCAGTATCTAAACTGTGGGGAGAAGAGAAAGGGGGATGGGCTAGGGTAGTACTAGGTAAGAAGCTGGCCAGCCTCTGCACTTGGTAAGCCCTACCTTCTAGCAATACTTTTTATATGTGATGATTTGGAAATGCAATTAATGTCATCTGAAATTTACTGTTTGTGTTGTTATTGTATTTCTAAATTATTGTAAAATTCTCTTATATTGCAAAACTTGAATGACCACTGTGAGCCAGAAATAGGGTTAGACAAAGCAAATTTTAATCTGAATTTTGTTGAAACTAAGAGAGTGAAAAAATTGTTTAAAGCCAGTTATGTTATTTTATTAAGCCTTGCTAACCTTGTCTTATAGCTAAAACAATTTGGCTGCCACTTAGGAAAATTACAAGATTGTTAACTAAGTTATTTGGGATTGTTGTTATAATGTTAAAACCTAAAATTGATCTCTCAGAAGCTCTAAGGATAGACAGAGTAGACACTCCCTACACCCCTCCCTTAGGAAGATGGCCAAGGTTGCCTTCAGTGTAGGGCTATAGGGGGTGACTGGAGGCCACATGTGCCAGCTACCATGTACTGGGATCCTAAAAATAAAATATGGGAACCCTGAAAGACAACCTAGCAAGGGAAAAGAAAAATCAGTCAGGGCAAAACAAATTAAATTAAGATTAAAAATAGGGGACTTGACATGCAGAAAGTATGTAGTTTTCATCAGTCCAGAGGAAGAATATCATAGGGTGGACAGGCAGCCCCATCTTTGGGTCCCTGCTGATTCCCCTTATTTGTAAACTTGCCAGATCCCTGGAAATCTTCTGGCAGGCAAGGTCATCAGCCCTGGGAAAAAAATAAAAACTTATTTGGATTATGGAGTTCCTAAACAATTAACTTGGTTTGCTCAGACTTTGCACGTTTATATATAATACAGAAATGATTCCTAATGTTTTTACTTTACATCAGGATAAATTTAAA